TGAGAAGGAAATCATCTTTTCCTGCTGGTTGAATCCTGCAGTAACTTTGGGAACCACCACAGCTGAGAAGGCCATATCCAGGATGGAGAGATGACAGAGGAACCAGTACATGGGCTTGTGCAATTGAAAGTTGGTGATCACCACCAAGATGATCATAGAATTTCCACAAAGTGTCAGTGCAAACATGATAGAGAAGAAGAGAATCAAGGGGACCTTTAAGTCTTCTATACAAGGAAACCCAGAGAGGATAAATTCATTTGGGGCTGTTTGATTTGGACACTCCATATAGTAGAAGCCTCTTCTTCAAACACCTAAACTAGCCTACAAATGCATGGACCAGTAAATCCCTATGGACCAGCCCAGGACCTGTGAAGAAGAAATACTCCTTATATCCCAATATGTGATTTAGGGGAAAAAAAGAACCCAAAAGTAGAAGCTATTGCAATGTTAAAAGCATTATTTACTCAGCATTTAACCAGTATTTATTTTGTCAGATTTCAATAAAGTTGGGGAAATTAGATTGTAATTCTTTCAAGAATGTTCTCTTGAATGATCCTGCAGGAATTTCTTCTCTTTGACAGATCTGTTGATCAGCTACATCTCATCCTGTCCGAGCTGCAAATGGGATACACCCAATTGTTATTGTCTCATTTACATTTGCTCACATAAAACAACTGATCCTGTTCAACTCTGGATAATGAACAATGGGAGTTTCCCATTGTTGTCCCACTAGCAAACATTGACCAACAGATTGGGCTGTTGAAAGAGGCAGTATCAACAGCAGGTTAAGAAAAAGTGCCAGAGAGAGACCAGTTTCAAAATGTTTGCAAGATATTCCCCTTGAGAAGAAGCAAAGGCACCAAGCAAAGTTAACAGGAATGTTCTCCTTGACTCATTAATCTGACAGAGAACAAAAGTATTTATTTGGCGTTGATGGAAGTTCTTTTACATGGGTAGGAGAAATCAGATTGTGCCTATTTGTTATTTAGGAATTGCTTGATAAAAAAAAGATAGGAGTTAAAGTTCCATCAACCTGAGGGAAAACAGAAGCATGGAGTTAAAAATAAATAATCTTTTATCCTGGCGATGGAATTCACACAGTTCTTCTTATATATTAGTTGGAAAAATGTTGATATGAAAGTATGAAGGATCAGGACCCAACCCATGTTTTCATCTCGTATGTACATATATACTCCATATCCAAGTTGAAAAATGTCTGCCCTCAAATGACCACATATAAAATAACTTGCATTAGCCTAATATACCTTTTGCTGACTATGCTGAAATTCCAGAAGACTCATAGATCATTACACAAGTTGGAAAATAGCATTGCACGTAGATTTTGTTCGGCATCGTTTGCCACTTCACAGACCTATTCCAACATTGTATTTTGTACAATGTATGTGTCAGAACCCATATTTTACAGGACCAGGATCCCTCTGTGGTTTAAAAATGTGATAAGTAAGTAAATAAATAAAATCTTGGGGAAGGAGTGATTCAATTCATTTCTCTTTTCCAAAAGGCTACGTTTGCTAGTATGAAATTGACTGGAAGGGTAGAAATACTTCCAGACCATACTTCCATTGCTGTTCCTGGAAGATTAGGTGGAAAATCCTGATGGAGTTTTGAATTATTTGCTCGTTAACTTGTAGCTGTATAACTTTTAATTGTCTTTCTGTTCAGAAGATTCAATGAGCCCCTCATGGAAAACAGATGAACTTTTTCTTGATGGACAGCAATTACTTTTTAGTTGCTCCAAGATGGACTCCTAAACTAAGCATGGAAAGGAAGATGTTTTCTTTCTAAGCTTTATCTGGCATAGTTAATTGCAAACCCCAACAAATATAATTGTAGTTTGTTTGTTTTTTTAAAAAAACCCAACAATTCCCCAATCCATCATTATTGTTACATACAAGTTGGTGGTATGCCAGGTCTCCACAAAGCCATGATAGTTCTTCTCAGTTTCATTGAGATATTTTCCCCCTTTCACATCTAGAGATACTTGGATTTTGGTTCTGAGGATCTTATGAATTTTTGCTTGATATGAACTCTGAACATAAAGTGAAGAAATAAACAGAGTCATACATCTTGATGTCTCCAGGTAGGAGCAGTTAAATTCTTCTGTGTCCACATATTTTTATAACATTCCATCTTTGGTGAATGTTTTGCCTTTGTTCCCTAGAGTTAGTAAACATTATATTAAAATATTGTTGATTTAGGAGAAAAGCAATTAAAATTGCCCAGAAACTGCCCTGGGAAACAATTATTTTCAAACAATAGGTGAGTTTGAAAGATTGCACACATAATAATAAAAAGATCAATTAGCCATGAGTTAAGATCCTATTGTTTGCAATGGGAATTAATTATTAATTATTTTCTCTTTCTTATTATTTGGATTACCCTTTTCCTTCTCTAAAGTGCATAGATTGAATTTCTGTTTTTCCTTTAATTAATTATAATGTTGTCCTCACCTTAAAATTCATGATCCATCTTCTCTTTCCTGAGTTATTCTTACATCTCTATTATGCTACTCTAGACTTACTACTCTAGTCATGGATCATCAGTAGCTATATGGATAAAATATGAAATGCAGATCTGTTCTGGATATGCTATGTGTTTTTAGCAAGAAATGGAGGGATTTAGTTAATTTATGGATATGCAATGCTAAAAATGCAGCTTTAGAACAGGTCTTTTCAACCAGTGGTATGGGTACCACCTGTGGTACATTGGCACCTGACACGTGGTACGCGACCATCCTAGAAAAGTGGTAGCAGGAGAGGGGAATGAGCTGAACCGGTGGCAGCACTGCACAAGCCTGAGTGAGAGATGGCTGGAGCTGCAGGGCTGTCAGGGCTCAGTGGAAGCGCCAGGATCAGCGCCAGACTCCAGCTGGAGCTCGGCGCTGATCATGGTGCTTCTGCTGAGCCCTGAAGAAGCACCAACAAGCTGGAAAGCAGCACGGATCCTGGTGCTTCTACTGAGCCCAGAAGAAGTGCTAATCAGCTGGAATGTTGCAGCATCTCCAGGGTCTTCTGATTTGCATTCAGATGCTTGGCAACTGATTCATTTTTATGACTGTCACAGTGTCCCAGGGTCATATGAAATGATCAAAACCTGCTGCAACCACCCAGCAGGTGGTTATATGTGGAAAGTAGGTCAGAAGGAAGTCAGTAAAAAGTCAGCAAAGGTCAGCAGAAATCAGCAAAAGTCAGCGGACCATCTGACTACAGTCTTAGAATGAGAAAGGATAAAAGGTTGGGACTGGACCTGATTGATTTGCCATTGGCCTATAGCTGTCCTATTGGATTATGCTATGACATATGGTCCTCATTGCAATGGGTTATTAATGTAAGGGATGTTGTGTTATTATGCTTGCTATGTTCCAAATTATTAGCAAAATAAACCTCTGAATCCTAAAGTAAGAATGATTGTTGTTGTATTGCTGTCTCTTGTCTTTTCCATTGGGTTTTTCCACGACAGTGTGCAATTGTATCCTACAACAGAGCTGGTACCTTAGCAAATCAAATGACTACTCTGCAATATCTTTGTGGTCTCCTGGCTACTGTAACAATGCCATACACTAATAAAAATAAACTATAGAATCTTCTGTTTCTCAGGTTTAGTGAATAAAGTCTGGAAACAACAATGTTTATTTAAATTGCGACATCAGGGAGTTTCATGCAGCACGGGAAAAGCACATGACAATACATTCAGAAAAGATATTAAATGCACTTCTAAAACATACAGTCATGTATAAACTCTCATTAAAATAGCTGCTAAATAATTCTCTTTTTCCTCTCTTATTTTTTGCTATATGCCTCTGTTGAGATCTCTTCACAAACTTCCCTGGTCTTGTTGGAGGCAATGGAAATCAGCCAGCAAATGTGACATCTTCTAAAGAGACATCGTGGAGAGTATGATTATCATTCATCCAACTAGCAGACCCAATGAAAGGAATCCTGAAGGCAGTTAAATCCCAGCAGGTTAAACTTTATTGGGCTTCTTCAGAACTGAAGAAGCAAAACCAGCTCTGAGTTTTCTCGTGCGAAAGCTTGCTTAGTAAAAAGATAGATTCCCATGCCCCCACCCACCAGGTGTTCCCATTGTCCAATAGTACTCTTCCATTTTATTATGGGAACAGTTCACATCGCCATCAAGCACTTGTGGCAATGATCTTGACATGGGGCAGGCTTTCATAGTCTGTGAACGGCTTCTTAGAGTTCCATTTCCTCCCTTCATTTTCTACCCCTCCCCACTTTTCTATGGCAAGATGAGAAAGCTAGCAGCCATCATAGTGATTCAATCTTGACAATGATTTACTGGAATTCCTAGTCTTCTTTGTCCAAAAGAGCAGTGCTACTTGAGGCTAGCTGAACAAGGAGATCATTAACTTCGGTAATCAAGTTCTAGTTGGATAAGGGCTTCTCTAGGAGAAGAGCTAGACAACACCTGATAGGAATGGATACTCTTCAAACCTTATGTTTCCTTCAGCATTGCTCAAATCTCAGATACATTCCTGAGCATATATTCAAACTTTCTATTCAAACCAATAGGCAGCTAGGAGGATCATTCCTGCAACTAGTGATTCCATTTCTTTATACCTCTAAGCATGTCATTCCACCTCCCCATCAAATTAAAAAAAAAGAAGTGATTACACAGAACAGACTGCATGATTTGAAACAACTAGCTGATGTGCATATTTCTAATCAGCTGCTTTGGCTTTCTATGCAATTTGGCCAACTATATTCATTATTTAAGAGCAGTCAATAGAAAAGTAGAATTAAATAGCTCTGAATTCCATCTGGAAATGATGACCTCAATTTGACTATTCACCATATTTGTTTTTTTAAAATGTTAAAAAATGTCTTGAGTATACTTCCTGCTGTCTACTGTGGATTCCCACTCCAGAGTTTCAACAGAGCAGTTTTCATCTCCTTGTTCCTAAGTGTATATATTAGTGGGTTTAACAAAGGGGTGATGGTGGTATAGAACACACTTACCACACTATCCATGGAGTCCTGAGAAGATGGCCTCATATAACGATAAAACACAGGAAGAAAATAAATGCAGACTACAGTAAGATGAGCAGTGCAAGTGGAGAAGGCTCTCTTCTGTCCTACACTGCTACTGATCTTCAAAATGGCTGTGATGATATAAGCATAAGAGGTTAGAATGAGGAGAAAGCAGGTCATAGTTATAAAATTTATGTCAATAATGAACATCAGTTCATTGAATGTTATGTCTACACACACCAGCCTAAGGATGGATGGAATGTCACAGAAGACATAGTCAATATAATTGTCCTCTCCATAAGGTGCATGAAAGGTGATAGTTGTCTGAAATGCAGAATTGAGGCTGCCTCCAATTATGGTACCCAAGGAGAGGGTGAAACAGGTTTTCCAGCTCATGATATTGCTATAGTGGAGTGGTTTACAAATGGCCAAAAAGCGATCATAACCCATCAAGGTGTAGAGAAAACATTCTGCACACCCAACAGAGTTAAACAAGAACACCTGTGTTATGCATCCTGGAAAAGAAATGATATTTCCTCTAGAATTGAAGCCTGCAATAACTTTGGGAACCACCACAGCTGAAAAGGCCATGTCCAGGATAGAAAGATGACAGAGGAACCAGTACATGGGCTTGTGCAGTTGAAGGTCCGAGATCACCACCAAGATGATCAGAGAATTTCCAGAAAGGGTGAGTGCAAACATGGTTGAGAAGAAGAGAATCAAGGGCATCTTTAATTCTTCTGTACAAGGAAACCTAGAGAAGATAAATTCATTTGGTGCTGTTTGATTTGGGCACTCCATATATACTTTTGCTTTAATCACCCAACCTGTGGAGTAGGTGGGATTTTATGATAAAAGGTATTATATTAAGTCTCAATGTGGGAGATGCCCTTTCAGACTTAATCATTTTCCTGAAAGATCTTGTATCTTGCCCAGAAAAACAAGAATTTAATATCTAAAATCTTGCCTACATTTGCATGGATCCAGAGAGTGCATTCCTATGGACCAACCATGAACGTGTGGAAGAGAAATACTCCTTATGTCTCAACATTCTATGTTATTTGGAAAGAAATAAGAGCTGGAAAGAAGAATGTATTATGATGTCGGAAGCATATTTTTTCAATTATCTTGTGTTTATCTTGTTCATATTTAACCACTGACTAACAGATTGGGCTTCAAGAGAGCCAATGTCCCCAACTCAGCTGGTGAGGTCAGAAGTGCCAGAGAAAGATCATTTTCAAATTGCTTGCCAGATAACCTCTTGAAAAGAAATGAAGGCCACCAAGCAAAATCATTGCAATGTTTTCCTTCACACATCAAACTGATAGGAAAATGAAATATGGTTCTGGAGTTGATGTAAGTCCTTTTACATGGGTGGAAGAAATCTGATTCTGCATATAAGCTTCATAGAAAAAAGATGGGAATTAAGCTTCCATCAATCTAACAGAAGATTGTGTGGAGCTGGGGAATAAACAGCTTTTACACTTGGGAGGAAACCATGCAAATCTTCCTTATATCCATCAGAAAGTATCTCATGTGAAAATAGGAAGGACAAGATCCAACTCAAATTTCCATCTTATATGCACATACACATTCCATATACAAGTTGAAAAATGTCCATCTTCAAACGATCATGTGGCCCAGAGTCACCTTATAAGGTAGACATAGGTGACATAAAGTAAATGTGAAATGTAAAAAATAATTTACGTTAGCCTAATATACCTTTTAACAACTATGTTGAAATTCCAGAAGATTCACGGATCATCGCACAGCATTCAAACCAGCATTGTACTGTACATAGATTTTTGGGACATCATTTGCCTCTTCACAGACCTATTCCAACATTGTAATTCATATGGTGTACAATGCTCAGTGTCTCTCTATGGTTTAAAAATTGATAAATAAATAAAATTTTTGAGGAAGGAGTGACTCAATTCATTTCTCTTCTTTTCCAATGTGAAATTGAAAGGACAGCAGTTCCAATGCTGCTCCCAGAAGAGCTGTGAAATATTTTGATGAACAAATTTGTAGGTTTGTAACTTTTAATTTTCTTTCTTAGATTCCCTGGACTCCTTATAGAAAACAAACAAGCTTTGTCTTGATGATAGCAATGTACTTTTAGTTGCTCCAAGATGGAGTCCTAAGCCGAGCATAGAGTTGAAGATATCATGTTTTCTTTCCAAACTTTAGCTGGCATAATTAATTGCAAAAAACAAAAACAAACAAAAAACCCCCCCAAAAACAAAACAAAAAACAAAAAACAAAAACAAATGTAGCCTCAGGTTTTTTTTAAAAAAAATCAGTTATTGTGAGATACAGATCCATCAAGCCATGATAGTTCTTTTCAGTTACACTGAGATATTTTTCCCCCTTTCAAATCTAGAGGTACTTGGAATTTTGTTCTGAGGATATTACGAACTCCTGCTTAATAAGACTTCTCAATGTGAAGAATTAGGCAGCATCATAAATCTTCATGACTCCAGACAGGAGCATTTTGAGTCTCCTGTTTACATGTGTTTTTATAACATTGCATCTTTGGTGAATCTTCTGCTCTTATTCCCCAGAGTTAGTGAATGTTATTTTAAAATATTGCTGATTTAAGAGAAACGCAATTATGATTGCCAGAAAGTCGACTAGGGAACAATTTCTTTCAAACAATAAATAAATTTAAAAGTTTGCACACACAATCAAAAATGATCAATTAGTCATGAGTTAAGATCCCCTGGTTTCCAGTGTAAATTAATTCAGAACAATGATTTTATCTCAGAGCTGACCGCCCAAGTCATTTTTTTGCCTTACTATTTGTGTTACTTTTTTCCTCCTCCAAACGTCTAGAGAGAATTTCTGATTTACACTTGATCAGTCATAATGTTGTCCTCACCTCAAAATCCATGATCTTACTTGCCTCTTTCCTGATTTATTTTTACACATCTTTGAAAAGTATAAAGGTCATATGGATAAGGCAAAGCTTACTATCTCATGTAATCTGAATGTATTCTGGATACGATGTATGTTTTTAGGAATCCCAAAGGTGCTTTTTCAAGACTTGTTTTTAAAAAGAAAAGGAGGGATTTGGTTAATTCATGGGTATGCAGTATTAAACGTGGATCTTTAACGTACATGATCTGGCCTTGTTCAAGAATACTTCCCTTTTGACTACATATTATTTTTCACTTGATTTTGTGATTCTACATTAATTTGGTTTGGAAAATTCTCTGTTGGTTTTGGTACTTATGATTCCAATGAAAACAAAAGGACTAGGGAAATGGATATTGTATCCATTTGTAGTTGGGTATGTTAAAAAGATAACAAAAATGGTAGGGACCCCTAACTTTATGATTTATGCAAGTCTATATGTCTCTTTACATGTGAGCACGTGCTACCTTATTAGAAATCTGAACTAAAGAAATATTTATGATTTGTGTTTATACCACCGGGCATGTATTGTTTCTCATTTCCCCCCTAATTTTATGATTTTCTATATGAGGCTCCATCATATATATTGATTGCCAGGGCATTCAAAAATTGGCCAAAAAATCAAGATGGTGGCTGCCACCATGTGGCATAAAACCAAGAAATCCATCATTTTTATTTTTCTTGGGGACATTCTTTTTTTTTAATTGAAAAGTTTTATCCAAGTTTTTAACAATATCCCCCCCTAAAATAACCCCCCCCTCTCCCTCCCCCCTCACTTCCCAGAGCTAGTTACAGGGTTACAAATAAACAAGCAAATTCTAAATAAACTTATCCAACTATACAAATAACAAAATCAATAATGTGCTTTAATTCAAATACAAAACAAATTTAAGCAAATTAAAAACAAAAAAACAAAACAAAAATAACAATATAAGCAATTCCAAATTAAAAACTAAAAATTATTCATAATCTAAATAATACTTTTTAATCCCATATCAACTCTAATCATAATTTATCCATTAAATCCCATATTTACTCTGCATGTAATTTATCCATCTTCTCTACACTGAGGTGTATATTTCTTTTAAACAACCATTCATCCATAATAAACACAAAATTTTCCCTCCAATATAACCCAACCAACAAACTTACATTCGATAAACTTGACTCTTTGCTTTTTTCCCACTCCTAGATAAATTTATTAATACCCTCCTACTTAAGAAGTTTTAGCAAACCATTCATCTTAATCACTAAAATTCTCACCAACAGAGATCATTAGAATTTAAATTCTTTTACACCTTTACCCATAATATCTCATAATTATTTTTATACACTTTAAATTAAAAATTTATAATATATACTCCCAAATATTTAAACTTTTCTACTAAATCAACACCTTCTATTATTCTTTTCCTTTACATCTACATACTACACAAATCATTCACTATTCCTTTAAAACATACTAAATCAAACTACCAGTTAAACTAACATTTATTGTTCTTTTTCTTTACATCTACACATTACACGAATCATTCACTATTCCTTTAAAACATCTTCTATCTCAAAAAACTACTACAAAAGTTCATCATTTCCTTTTCTTTATTCCAACATCCGCCTTCTGCTGTTCTTTTTCTTTACGTCGATAGGCTGCACGAGTCATTCTCGGTTTCTTTAAAAAAATCTTCTATCACAAGAGACAGCTGCAGAGGTTCAGCCTGTATATCTCCTACATCCAATAACATAGCACCTTCAACCGGCTGTTCTTCCAACTTTTCTTCTATTATCTCAGATCGTGAAGATGATGGAGAGCCCACCTTCAAAATAGAAGTGTAAAAATTTTTCGCCTTTGAAATTGTATTAAGTCTATAATATATCCTCACATAATTCACCACTATTCCAGCAGGTATCTCCCATCTGAACCGGACCTGTTGTTTTTTGAGCTCGTCAGCCAAAAAAGCAAAATCCTTTCTTTTTCTAAGGATTTTTGAAGGTATTTCTTTTAAAATTATAACATCTTGAGCTGCAATTTGAAATCTCTGCTTATAAAAAGCCTGTAGAATTTCATTACGAAGTGATCTCCTAGAAAAATAAATAACCACGTCTCATGGCAAATTCCTCTGCCTCGCAACCCTTGAATTAACCCTAAAAACTTTTTCCGTCTCTCTCAGTATTTCTTCTATCACCACTTGTCTTTTACCACCACTTGTCTCAAATCCTCTTGCGTATTTTCCTTCATTCCCCTTATTCTTAAAGCAAATTCCATGTCTCTATATTGTAACAGTAATTTCATCCTGTATTATTTCCACCTTATTTTCTACTTTGTCAATTCGATCTTCCAGTTTTTCAAAATTTTCCACAGCATCATCAATACGATCATCCAGATGATCTATATGACCAACAAACTTTTGAAACACAAACACTGTGTCCTCTCTCAATTCCCTGATTTTATTTTCAAAAAATTCCTCCATCTCTTCTTTAATCTGTTGTGCCATATTTCCCAAGGCATCCTGTAGATCTTTAAGTGTACATGCTGATGATGATGGAGAAGGTGGTGGTAACTTAAACTTAGCTTGCTGAGCTGTCTGCATTACCGGGAAGATCGAGGCTTTAGAAACAACAGAAGCTCCGAGATGCTTTGAAGCCATTTTATTTTTAAAACCACTCGTTAAAAAGTCTGCTAAACTCTTATAAAATCAACAAATAACAAAAGAAAAAAGAAAAAAAAGAGGGGAGGAAAAAAAAGACAAAAGCCCCCTTAAAAAAAAGATTCTTGCATTTTATATAAATACAAAATCTGTTATATTGTTCCAAATAAAAGTTCCGGTCCTTTCACTCAAAGAATCAACATCTCAGTGCCATTTTTCACCACTCTTAATTGAAAAAAGGAGAAGATAAATTCTTTTCCAGAGT